ACCCGCCCCCTCTTCGAGAGACCAAAAACGACCCCCTCCGCTGAAGGTCATCCCCATCGTACGAAGTGCCCTGCGGGTGAAACCTGTCAGTTCTTGATCGGGTTTGTCTACTCTGCGCGTTCAGGGGAGATGGGCAAGAGAATCGTAAATTGCCGCTTCGTCGCGCGCGGCAATGGGTGCGACGTTTCCTTAATTTGCACTGCCCTTTCGACTGGAGCATCGGATTCCATGCAGACAAGGACATGACACTTATGTCTATTTTTGGTCATACATTGTCTATTCTCGACCAATACCACCTAAAATCGTCGTCATTAGCGGGCGCGACGTCGCACGCGACGCCCACTGGCGCGGCGAATTACGATTCTCTTGCCACATACCCCGCGTTCAGAGTTCCGAGTGGATGGCACTGCGTGAGCACGGCCCAATTTGAATTCTGCCGTTGCGGCGGCGCCCCTCTTGGAGGTGGAGCTCCCCCCCCCCCTCACGCTAGTGGTCGCCCGATCCAATCGGGGGATCGGATCGCTCGATCTAATTGCAAAGTCTGAACACGGTGTAAGGCTGTATCAGCTTTACGGGGGCTTAAAAGTTCTCACTTGACAGCCCGGGTAAGTTTCATGAGCACCATTTCGTGGCTTCAGCACCAGTCACTAAAGTGATTACTTACTGATTGTGAGGTATTTTAGCTACTCACTTCTTTGTTAATTCAGAATAAAAAACATATTGCGGCATTTACTGAAGCATCTTCAGCTAGTGATGATGGAGGTCCAGCTCTATAGGATTAAATATTCATTACTAATCACAGATATTCGTTTCTTTTGATATGACATTTTTTTCATCAAAGGCATAAAGAAGAGATGAAAAGTGGCAGTGGGAAAATTGACGGCAGCAAATAATAATAAGTGAGAAATGTGTACTCATTGATTACAAATATCCACCCGTAGCTTCTATCACATGCAGTAACAAATAATTGATACTATGAATTCATATTTCTTATGACGAAGTCTTTGATGACAACGTGGTTGATTGGGTGCGCTTCCATTATGTAATTCGACTGTGTTAAATCATTCACTTTCCATCGGAGTTGTACATCCTGCTGAAGGCTGTAAAGAAAAATCTTATTGAACTGGAGATTTCCCAAAAAATTACTGAAAATAAAACATCACATAACGCTCAATATTAGATGTGCTCATACTTGGTGAGTCAAGCGATCCCCTGTAACCGAGGTGCTCCATCACTACTACTTCAACAGTAAACAGTAATAATCATTGTAACTTTTAATTCCGCCACATCTGCCTCGACTTTTCTGTCATACGTTCTTACTATTTCGCTGGACTCCATATAGAGGCTGTCTACCCTCGCCTAATATTGGACGAATAACGTGGCTAAACTAGTAGTTGCAGTGGTCCAATGATTAGCGGTGGAGCACCGTCGGTATTAGTTCTTACTGAATCGTTCAGTACGAGGTGTATTCGCGGCCTTCTTATCAACTAGATTCACTGGATAAGTCCACTCGGAAGGTGACATGGCGCTAGCGTAGTAGAAGATGAGAAGCGGACGCTCGGCAGTGCCTTTGTGCCCCTTGTCATCTCCATAGAGGCGACAAGGAGAGACACGGAGACGCTGCGAGTGTCACCTCCCTTCACCACCACACAGGCTCAGAACGCAGAAGCCCGGTGTGTCTAGGCATAGTTTTGCAGAGAAACATGGTCTGTACTAACAATAAGTCCATCCATAGTTGAGGGAAGGAACGTAGGCGCGCGACCGAATAGTTCCCCAAACTAAGTTGCCTAAGCAATTTCCGATGAGCATTTTGAAGAATATTTGCTGTCTGTGGGATTAGCTAGTGCTCAAGCAAGGATTTATACTTTAGCTGGCAAAATTAAGGACGATATAGTGTGAGACTCCACAGGTAACGGAACTGGAATGAAGGTTTTTGGGCACTACACCGTATCGCCCTCTAAAGCTAATGAATATTATTTGTTTAATGATGGTTAGGACCCACCAGCCATTGATCAGATCGCGAAGGCTTTGAGAATGTCCTGCGATATCTTCAGCATACGTTTGACGATCATTAATATAGTTGAAAGATGTCGTGAATAGCCCATCCTTTGGTGCTTGAAATGGATAACGTCCCAGAGCAAGTTCCCATAATGAAAGACCGAAGCTCCATATATCGGACTCTAATCCTCAAACAAATGCAGAGTATAATAAGTCTTTCGTTCACTGTATTAAACGTTGCGCGAAGAGACAGCCGGTTTCAGAGTAAAGAAAAATCATGGGAAGAAATTAACTACTATGTTGTAGAATCTACATAAATGAAGAATTTATTGGGAGGGTTCGAAAACACAAAAGAGAGCTTCAGCTTCCGTTCGCACGTGGGCCGTTATTACGGAGCCAACCAAAAGCAAAAAGCAAAACTGGGTAGGACCAACCAGGCCGCCGATTAGAGTACGCAGTACGCACGTTATGATATACCAGTCTGGCTACGCCGCAGTTCTGCGCGTGGTTAAACCTTTGTTACTGATAACTGACAGGATTCCTGTGCTGAGCACTAACACTTACCCTAATTCCTATGTCAAAACGGCCCATTTCATCATGTTTCTCCCTTTTAATGAACATTTGCCGATGTTAGGTCTTATCATATTTCTTGAATCACCATTTGTTGGAAATCGGACAGCATAGCGGTTGGAAGGATTCCGATATTAAAAATATCGAAATCACAGTGGCTCTTATTATTCCTCCTGGCACAACTCCATACATCCTTTTTCGGGGAACTCGAGCGTTTAGCGGTGGAAGCAATTCCGACCGCTAAACTGAGGGATTTTACTGATAGGAAACATCTTGACTTACTAAGCCTTCGCCCATTGATTCTTTGGTTACGGTGATGTGAGCAGATACGGACTCCCAAAAGCCCTTGTAGGACAATGACAGGATTTATCTTCCACCTTTAATGTTCCCTAAGCACCTCTGAATTACTTGCTGGAGCAGTTCCCAGTGTTGCTACAACTCTGCTTTGAATTTTCCTGGCTATCTCATCAGCTGTTATCAATTCCTGCCACCCGCCAATAATGTTCCCACCCTGCCCCTGTCTTACTTCTTAGAACCAATGTCTCGTTGTCGCTGTGGCCGGTGCTATGAATTTGATGACCCTCGCTTTCTAAGACCCCTTATGGTATCTTATCAGCTCTTATCACTTCCTGCCACCCACCACTAATGTTTCCATCCTGCCCCTATTTTATTTCTTGGAACCAACACCCTACCATCACTGTGACGCACGTTATGGATTTTGAGACCTTCCCCTTCTAAGGCTCCTTATGGTATCTTATCAGCTCTTATCACTTCCTGCCACCCACCACTAATGTTTCCATCTTGCCCCCTATTTTATTTCTTGGAACCAACACCCTACCATCACTGTGACGCACGTTATGGATTTTGAGACCCTCCCCTTCTAAGGCTCCTTTTGTTATCTTATCAGCTGTTATCACGTCCTGCCACCCACCACTAATGTTTTCCATCCTGCCTATCTTAGCTTCTTGGAACCAAACGTCCCATCGTCGCTGTGACGCGCGTTAAGAAGGTTGGCGACCCTCCCCTTCTAAGGCCCCTTATGTTATCTTATCAGCTGTTATCACTTCTTGCCCCCTACCAATAGTGTTCCTGCACGACCCCCTATATCTCTTATCAGTTTGAGCGCACAGTCGCTGTTTTGAAGGAAGTTATGAATTTCCGGTCAAACACAGACACAACATCACATTCCACACACACACACACAACACCGAACAGACAAACTGTAGCGGATTTATATATAGTAGGAAACTGATTGAGCGAACTTGATTAGCGTAAGAAATATTAAGATGTCTGGCGAGGAACAGCAGGTACATAGTTATGTGCCTAGCTGGACAGCTTGATATTTTTTTGGCTGAATCAATCATCCAGTGGCGAATCTCTCGGTCAGTTTATCCGGAATCTCAGGTGATTGCCGCGCGCAATTATTAGAGTAACGTCGACGCCTACTTTTGATATGATTGAGGTACTTGTGATTCAGGGACATCAATAGCTCTGTGAAGGATTCATCAATTGCTGGAGCGATTTAGAAAGTCAGTTCAGTAAAAGGACCATAGAGGGCCAGAGGAATCTGACAGGACTTGTCCACAATCCGAGGGGTATAGCTCGCATGCCATAACGGCAACCT